CCCCGAATCGTTGCCCGCATCGGGTTTGGAATCATGCCCCGAATCGTTGCCCGCATCGGGTTTGGAATCATGCCCCGAATCGTTGCTCGCATCGGGTTCGGAATCATGCCCCGAATCAACGATCGCATCGGGTTCGTCAGCATCACGCTCGGAATCATCCTCGGCATCCGCTTCATCGGCGGGTACCAGGGCATGGCCTCTGTCCTCGGACTCGTCGACAGTAGCACGTTCCGGCTCGTCACGGATCCACAGCATTTGCACGGCGAACAGCCTCTTGAGGATCATCATCTTCGTATGCCTCAGACCCCAAATTGTTCGATCATGATGCTGATATAGCGCATGCATGATACCGACAAAAAATATGTTCAAGCGGGCATCTTCGCATCGAGCGTGCGACGTGCGAGGCGTTGCAAGGCACCAACGAGCGATCTCAGCTTCAGTGCCTCCAGATGGGCCCATTCCTGCATGGGATCGCTATCATGATAAGGGGGGTCCCTGGTAATATATGCAGACGGGCTCCTTCACCTCCGCCTTGCCACCCCGTTTCGTCCGCACGTTGGGGTGCAAGCTGTAGGTCGAAGATATGTGCGTGAAGGCTACCTTCCCACGCAAGTCGAAGCTAGCTCATGCAGCACGATTCGGAATTCGTTAACATATGAAAACGCTATCGCTATCAGTTAGACCGGGCCTTGTGGTCACTGAGAGTGGGGATGCCCTTAGAACTCACGACGTGCACCACATACGACTTCAGCAAGTCGAAGTTCAGCAAGATGTCTTGCTCGCCAACCTTCGAAACAAGCCGTAATATATGTATATGCATGTGCACACAACTCACACAATCGATGCTTGCCACATAACCTTGTTCGAGGTTTCCCCGTCCGCAGGATCACGAACCTTCACCACCTGCAGAGCCTCGATTTAAACTTCGATGCATGCACATACGCATGTATATGATCGACGGCGACTAATGCATGCCGTGGCTCAGAATCCGGAGCACGAAAGCTTGCAAGCTTGCCTTCGACGATCGGCCGAAGGCCATTGACGATCGCTTCGGCGCCATCCTGATTGATCAATCGCGGAGCTCATTTAAATTTGGGATGCGTGCAGGCGCCCTACAAGTCCCAAATATGCAGATAAGATTCCGTTAAGAAGTACTTCAGTGGCTGCGAAAACCGCCGGTCTTGCAAAGCACGAGCCATGGACCTAGACCTGAGCCCTTCACCTGCACCTTGTGTGCAGCGTACAAAAAAAGCCCTCGAGCAAGAGGCAACAATTAACACAACGTGCGAAGACCACATGTACCCATGCATCATTATGCTGTGCAACTTTGCAATCTCGTGCACAAGCAGCAGGCTGCATGTAACTTCTGGCAAAGAGGGGGGTGCACCTCTGGCCTTCTGGTTGCGCTTGCGGAACAGCAACGATGCTCGGATCATGGCTGCTCGAGCTCGAGCTAAAAATTTTAGAATTTCGAACCATGTACCTGATCCGGATTCGAATCGAATGGAGAACCCAGAAAGCTATGGCAGCAACACTTCAGCCACACCCGTGATCAGACATCGGGCCACCTGATCTAATGCTGCAGTCAAGTCTGCGTGTGTACGCTTGATCTGCACAATCTTAAACCGAATGTACGCAAACGAAGATAGCTCTGGCTGCGAAGGATGAAGCACATGGCCTGCAAGGCTATCCATCAACCGTTATAAAGATTATATGTCCCCCAGCAAGGTCTTAA